AAATCTCTTCAGTGGGGATACCCACATCCTGTGAAAAGATTGTGATCCCGGAGCCACAGTGTTGCTTTTGCAGCTCCTGTCTGTGATCGGACACCATAATTCAGGAACTCTTGTCAGAATTTGCAACAAGATTGTGAACATTGACTTCAATCCTGAATTGATCTCTGTCACCAGCTCTGCAATCCATTGTCTGAAAGGCCCCATTCATTAACATCTCCGAGTATGAAGCCCTGAATAATCTTTGACAATTGCATTTTTTAAATTGTGGAATGTGGTGTCACTGGCAATGTTTGACTTGCTGGGCCATTTCAGAGGGCAGTTAAGAGGCATTACTGTGGGTTTAGAATCACATGTCCTACACTACTCATCTACTGGCACCCAGAGCGGGGAGGGGCGGACAAGTCTGCGGGTCTTCTCATGGCTTTGCTCCCTGACCTGGCCGCTGGTTACGTCCATGCTTGGGTGTCCCTGGAGAGGGAGCACGCGGAGGTCACTGGCGTGGTTGAGGCCTTTCGAGACCACTGGGAGCCGAGGGCAGTGAAGTGCATTATCAGCCTGGATAATGATATTCTGATTTAGTTAATTGTTTCTGCAGTATAAGTTTATGTTCATTTTCGGTTTGGTGCCAGAAGAAGAGGGCTGTTTTATTTTTCCTTTGTTCTGATTTTGCATTCTTTGGAAGAGCTAAGGGGCTTTTGTTTTAGCCCTGCACTATCCCTTTCCTAGATGGGGATCGGTGTGATGGGAATCTTATTTTTAGTTGAAATGAACAGGGGAATTTCCCTCTTGATTTCAAACTATTGTTGTCCCTGTCCTCGGAGCGTTTGGGGGGGACAGAGCAAAAAGGATTTATTTATTTATTTTATTTTATTTGTTTGTTTGTTTCCATTGATTTTGCTTGAGTTTATTTTTATTTTGGCTCCCTGTGGTCCCTGCCCAAAAGACGTTGATAGGGAAAAATTAAAGAGAGCCATTTTTTGTTTGTTAATTTACTTATTTTTGTTTCTCCCCAGTGTAATAGGGTCTTAATTTTCATTTTAATGAAGTCTAGGAAGCTTTATTTTCCCATTTGAAAGAGTAGAGTGGACTTTGCTCTGTGTTTCACCCGGTGCTGTCCTGAGAATATCTGATGGAGGCAGATTCGGGAGGCCTTGGTTTTTTTCTGTTTACACCTTTTGTTTGAAAAAGTAGAGTCATATTTCGGCCAGATTTGGTTAAGGAGCTAGTTTCCTTCCCTAAAGGGCCTTAGTGAACCCAGATGGACTCCAGACTTTTAAACTGAATTTGAAGTCCATGTGCTGCTCTGCCGAGATTCAGACTGTGTCCCTAAAGCATTAGCCTGGGCTGTTGGATTACCACTCCACTACCCGTACCAGTATGCCACCATCTCGAGCCACAGCGATACCTTCGTTACCTACCTGTGCACAGAACGTAAGAAGTAGAAGCAGGAATAGCACATTCGATCCCTCAAATTTGCATTACCATTCAACAAGACCATGATGGCTCTTTTATCTTGATGCCATTTTCCTACGCTGTCCCCCATCCCTTGATCTTTAATGTCTAGAAATTGATTAATCTGTTGTTGGGTAGAGAAGACCAAATATTCACCAGCCTCTAGGTGAAGAAGTTCTCTTCATCTCAGTCCTAAATGATTTGCCCGGCACCCCTGCCTTATTCTGAGACTGTGTCCCCTAGTTCCAGACTCGCTAGCCAAGGGAAACATCCTGCACCTACCCCATTGAGCACTTTAAGGATCTTGTAAGCTTCAAAATGATCACCTTTCGTTCCTTGATTCTCTAGAGAATGTAGATCTAATCTTTCCTCTGAGTACAAACTCATGTTAGAATTTACCTCACCAGTGTATACTTCTGTTCACTGATTAACCGGCTGGTCTGGCAGTTTACTGTGTGAACAACTTACAATTGAATGTGTCTTCAAAAAACATTAACGTATTTTTCTGATTAAGCATTTCAGTGATGTTATTACACGCCTCTGGAGCAGGTGGGACTTGAACCCAGGCCTCCCAGTCCAAGGGTAGGGACACTACCAGTTCACCACAAGAAGATACAATGAGGAGCTTTAAGAAAAAAGTCAAGTTATGGTCAGAGCACCCCCTGTTCCAGGGCACCCTGTTTAGATACAACAATCTATCGATAGTTATTAGAATGGACTCAAAACTGATTGGCTCCAGGGAGGCTGTCTGACCTCAGGAATTGTCATAGCAACTGGTAACAGGTTCCTATTGGTCTAGAGTCGTAAATAACAAAGAGGTGCCGGTAGTGTCGGGAAGATGCGCAAAATTTTTTGAAAAATTGCAAATTTACTTTGAGAAAGCACACAAGGGCACATTACAGAGTGTGATGATGCTGTGGCTTTAAGAGGTTATTTCGTCCTGGTTATTTTTGAAAGAGGTTGTAAGGCAGAGACGCCGAGCAGTCTACCAAAACCACTTGCGTAAACAGCTTGGGAGACCTTGAGTTTTTGTTTAACAGGCTGAATGGGTGTGGCCAGCTCTCAGATCGGGATTTCCAGGTTTTGGTTCCTCAGTAGGGTCAGAAGTTGTTGGGCTCTCGGCAGAGTTGGATGCTTTAGTAAATGTCTCCTGGCTACTACTCTCTGAATTTTCTCTTGATGTTTTTTCCTTCTGGATTGGAGAACTGCATGTGAGAATCTGTGTCTGAAGTTTCTTTTTTGCCAAGGAGTGTACTTAGGAAATGTTACTACACTGGAACAGTTAATTAGTAATAGTTACTGTATCTACTATTCTGTAAAGTTTTCTAATAGAGTTAGGTTATTCTATGTTCTTCTTTCTTTTGTTTGTATTTTAATGACAATATTTAAATGAATTGTGTTTTGCTTAATGTCGAGTAGTTTGACCAGTCAAATTGCATCTGGAACACTACTTCACGTTTGCTTTTAAAGTAAGAAAAAAATTAGGATCTAGGTTACCTTCTTAAAATATTTTTAGGGGGTTTAGTCTGGTCCATAACACTGAGATCTTTAAATTAGCCAAGGGTGAGAAGTTCAGGAGAACTGGAGTTGGGAGGTAAAGGGGATAGAAGGCTAGAAGTCAACAGGTTGTTAAAGATTTGATTTGATTTAGGTTTATTGTCACATGAAAAACAAGTATGAATACAGTGAAAAGTGTACAATGTCGCCATTCCCAGTGCCATCTTAGATAGAATCCCTACAGTGTGGAAACAGACCAATCAGCCCAACAAGTCCACACCACCCCTCTGAAGAGCATCCCACCCAGACCCATTCCCCTACCCCTGCATTTCCCATGTCTAACCCACCTAAGCTAAACATCCCTGGGCACTATGGGCAATTTAGCATAGCCAATCCACCTACCCTGCACATCTTTGGACTGTGGGAAGAAACCGGAACACCCAGAGGAAACCCATGCAGCCAGGGGGAGAATGTGCAAACTCCACACAGACAGTCGCCTGAGGTTGGAATTGAACCCGGGTCCCTGGTGCAGTGAGGCAGCAGTGCTAACCACTGAACCACCTTGCTGCCCCAAAAGTATGAAGGTACCTGGGTGCAAAATCTTTGGTACAGAAATAGAAAAATAAATAAGTTGAAAAAAGTTCAGTACTACAGTTTCTTCTTAATATGAAAATAGATTATGAAGAAATAAATTAAAAAGTCAAACATTACGGATGTTAGACAGCATCTGTGGAGCGAAATCAGAGTTAGCATTTCGGGTTGAGTGACCGTTCCTCTGTTCTGACCCGAAATGTTAACTCTGATTTCTCTCCACAGATGCTGCCAGACCTGCTGAGCTTTTCCGGCAGTTTCTGTTTTTGTTTCTAATTACAGCATCCACAGTTCTTTCAGTTTTCATTACAGATGTTAGCCTTGGTTAGATTCACCACTCCCTGCTTCCCCACAGTTTTTGAAATTCACTTCCGGTCACTAATCCAGCCTCTCACTCTCCGCCATTCCTGGCAGATTCCATGCCATTCGCTCAGCAACACTTGAGCACAGCTACCGTTGCGAGCTGCAGGCAAGTCTAGGGTGGGGGCGGGTTATTGATGGATCATGACGGATTGCTCAGTTCTGGTCCCCCTGCTATAGGAAAGAATGTTATGAAACTTGAATGGGTTCAGAAAAGATTTACAAGGATGTTGCCAGGTTTGGAGTGTTTGCACTGTGGGGAGAGGCTGAATAGGCTGGGGCTTTTTTCCCCTGGAGCGTTGGAGGCGGAGGAGTAACCTTATAGAGGTTGAGAAAATCATGAAGGGCGTGGATAGGGTGAATAGCCAAGGTCTTTTTCCCTGGGGTGGGGGGAGTCCAAAACTAGAGAGCATAGGTTTAATGTGAGAGCGGAAAGATGTAAAAGGGACTTAAGGAGCAACTTTTCCATGCAGACCGTGATACGTGCGTGGAATTAGCTGCCAGAGGAAGTGGTGGAGGCTGGTACAATTACAACATTAAAAAGGCATCTGGATGGGGTACGCGAATGGGAACGGTTTAGAGAGATATGGGCCAAATGCTGGCAAATGGGACAAGATTAGTTTAGAATATCTGGTTGGCATGGACGAGTTGGATTGAAGGGTCTGTTTCCGTGCTGTACATCCCCCTGTGCAGAACCTGTATATTTGAAGGAACACTGTTTCCTTCTGCTGTTGTCATTTAAAAGGACAGAGATATCGCAAGAGAGACTGATTTCACCGGAGTGAGCAGGTTCTAGAGTAACCACTAGAATGTAGAGGCAGAAACTCTGTTCTGAATTCCTCCTGCAGTTATATTACGTGAATGATTGAGATGAACTTGTTTTTTTCCCAGGGAGAGGATTCGCAGGTGGGAAACCCAGACCTGACAACACATCAATCCGAGAGTCACCCGATTCAGCAGGACCTGATCATCATTGGTGACGTGGAAGGGAAACGCAGTATCCCCAGCACGGAAAAACCGTTCACATGTTCTGGGTGTGGCCGAGGATTCAGCCGGTCGTGTGATCTGGGGAGACACAAGTGTAACCGAACTAGGGCGAGGCCGTGCAAATGCTGGGACTGTGGGAAGGGGTTCAGTTACCCCTCCGAGCTGGAAGCCCACCGCCGCAGTCACACTGGGGAGAGGCCGTTCACCTGCCCTGCCTGCGGGAAGGGCTTCACCCGATCTTGCAACCTGCTGACCCACCAGCAGGTTCACAGCGGGCGCAGGCCATTCACCTGCTCCGTGTGCGGGAACGGGTTCATTCGGATCTCCCACCTGCTGCAGCACCAGCGCATCCACACCGGGGAGAGGCCGTACACCTGCTCCGAGTGCGGCAAGGGCTTCACTCAGTCCTCCGACCTGCTGAAACACCAGCGGGTCCATACCGGGGAGAGGCCGTTCACCTGCTCTGAGTGTGGGGAGCGATTCACACAGATCTCCCACCTGCTGAGGCATCAGCGAGCTCACACGGGTGAGAGGCCTTTCAAATGCCCCATTTGCGAGAAGCGATTCACTCAGGCCTCCAGTCTGCTGAGGCACCAGCGAGCCCACGCTGGGGAGAAGCCCTTCATCTGCTCGCTGTGTGAAAAGGGATTCGCCGAGTCGTCGATGCTACTGAGGCACCAGCGGGTGCACACAGGGAAGTGGTCGTTCACCTGCTCCGTGTGTGGAAGAGTTCACACATCGCTGCACTGCTCCGACTCCGCAGTTATCGCCGCCGTTCGTCAGATTCAGGACTGACCCCATTCATCTTGACACTGCAGTGCTGTTGATGCTGCCACTGCTGACCACAGTGACTGGTCTGGGACACAACAGTATTTGCATTTAATTTACAAGTTTCAGGATGTCTTCTGTGGGCGTGAGCCTCCACAGTCAGCAATGTGATAATGACCAGTGCTGATCTGTTTCTCGTGAGGTTTTGTTGAACGCAAAATATTGGCCACTGGGGAGAGCTTTCCTGCTCTCCTTCAAAATCACAGGCAGATCTTTTACATGGCTTGAGAGGGCAGGCATGGAATCTTGGTGTACCATCCTCAACAAGCCCTTGTGGGACTCCTGCAAAGGATCTTGAATGTTTTTGTATTGCATGAGAGTAACTTGATGAATATAACCTTGTAGGTGTAGATAGACTGGAGCTTCAGTGTACAGACGCTGCTTGTGTGTTTTCTCACTGAAAAACTGAGCCCCAGGTCAATTTGTTGACTGTTCCTCCTGAAGCACAAGAGACAATAGGCCTTTCATCTATCATGCAAAAAGAAAATAGAATTAAGTTTTAAAGTCTTTTCCCAGCCAATTCACACAGCAAAACCCCTCCTCCTCAATCAATTAACAGCAGCATCCTGGAACATGTGGATCATTTCTCATACCTAGGGAGCCGCCTCTCAACGAAAGCAATGTACAGATGACGGAAATTTGTCATCCAGTCCAAACTGCGACCATCCAATTGAGGAAAAGGGCATTTAAAGACCAGGATCTCAAATCTGAGACTAAGGTCATGGTTTACTGGGCAGCAGTGCTCCTATGTACTTTGTAACTCGGAAAACCTACAGCAGCCACATCAAAGCACCAGAGAAACAGGGGGCTTTTGCATGAGATCGGTAGGAATATGCTATTGGATAAAGGGGGCACTGATCAGGTCTGGAGGGTGAGAGAGATTAAATAACAACCATGTCATGGAACTAAAGGCAAAGGCTAACACATTGGTCCAAAGTGTCAATGTCAGAAATGAAGGTCAAAAGGTCTGGTTCAACCCTTCATAAATTTCTGTGAACTTTGGATATCTGCTTGTATACTGGTCAGTTCACTTTTCTGCTGGTGTTGAGCATGATTGAGAAAAGAAGGACCCAACTGGGAAATCTTTTCCATTCATCTCTTTCAGATACAATGTCTTTCTTGTATTGAATTGAATTAGCTTTATTGTCCCATGTACTCAAATGAGGACAGTGAAAAGTTGATAAGTCACTGCTTACAGCACCACCTTAGGTACAAAGTTACCGAGGTACAGCTTCTTCAGTTACCAGATTAGTTTACTATGTGACAATGTCACCAACACACAGCGTCATCTTAGGTAGGGGACCTAGGTGCAATCCTCAGTTACAGAATAGATAAATAATTACAGCTATACACAGTACAACCAATGGTCAGAAAAACAAGAAGTTAAAAAGACAGACATCACAGTCTCTCTTCAAGGGCTCTCCACAGCAAACCAGGGCAGGGGGCCTGGTCTGACTGCTGGCTGCCCCCACTTTGGGCCGCCAGCCCCGTTTCGGAGGTTGAGGGTCAAAGGCCAGGGATGGGTGTTCGAGGCTGAGAGAAGGGTGGTAAAGAGGGAGAAGAAAAGAAAAAGAATAGGCAGAGTGGACGAGCTCTGGCTGGAGCGTCCTACTTTGGCGCCATTACTGAAGCATAAAATTCTTACTTTTAGATTCAATTTCTCTTATAACAAAAGATAGCACCCCATTAACCTTCTTGATTGTGTGTTGTACCCACACACTAACTTTTTGTGACTCTTGTTAGAATGCCTAAATCCCTCTGCACCTTCGTCTTCCGCCATTGTTCGCTGTTTAAGTAATATGCTGATTTATCGTTTCTTCTTGCCAAAATGAACAACTTCACGTTTTCCCAAGTTACATTAAATCTGCTGATTGGGGAGACTATGGCCTAGTCATATTTTCGCTAGACTATTAATCCAGAAACCCCAGGTAATGTTCTGAGGACCTGGGTTCAAATCCCGCTCACAGCAGATGGTGGCATTTGAATTCAATAAAAATTGGGAATTAAGAGTCTAATGATGGCCAGAAAACCATTGTAGATTGTTGGAAAAACCCATCTGGTTTACGAATATCCTTTAGGGAAGGAAACTGCCATCCTCACCCAGTCTGGCCTACGCGTGACTCCAGACCACACAACAATGTGGTTGACTCTTGACTGCCCTTGGGCACTTAGGCATGGGCAATAAATTATGGCCTAGCCAGTGATGCCCACATACCATGAATGAATTTAAAAAAAAAAATCAGTTTGGGAACATGGTCGGCATAGACTGGCTGGACCAAAGGGTCTGTTTCCATGCTGTCTGACTCTAGATACGTTGCCCTGATAGTGCCAGCAGGGCTGTGGATTTAATTGGATAGGGTTCCAAAGAGTGAGTCCAGGCACGAACGGGCTGAAGATATTTCATCTGTATAGCATGGATCTGTAAAGCAATGGATATTCAGTACCTGGGAATGCAGAAAGAACGAGGGAAGGAACGGTCAGTGTGGAATTGAACACAATCAGAGTAAGCACCTTCAGGGCTGAAAAGAGAGAGAGAGAAAGAGACACCAATGAGGAACTCGTTATAAGGTCAGCATATTTCCGTAGCAGACTAATGGTTGCAATCACTTTCAAGATACGAATCAGTGCAGAGCACTCTTTCATTAGGATTCAAGTGTATTTTTAAACTTCATAGAATCCTGACAGTGTGGAAGCAGGCCATTCAGCCCATTGAGTTCATGCTGACTATTAATCCAGAAACCCCAGGTAATGTTCTGAGGACCTGGGTTCAAATCCCGCTCACAGCAGATGGTGGAATTTGAATTCAATAAAAATTGGGAATTAAGAGTCTAATGATGGCCAGAAAACCATTGTAGATTGTTGGAAAAACCCATCTGGTTTACGAATATCCTTTAGGGAAGGAAACTTCAGCATCCCACCCAGACACACTGTAACCCTGTAACACTGCATTTCCCATGTTTAATCCACCTAGCCTGTACATCTTTGACTGTGGGAGGAAACCAGAGCACCCAGAAGGAACCCACGTGGACACGAGGAGAACATGCAAATTCCACACAGTTACCAGAGGGTGGAATCAAACACAGATTCTTGGCACTATGAGGCAGCATTGCTAACCACTGAGCCAACATGTCACCCTGCTCATTTATCTCAATTAGGTAATGATATTATTTTCCATTCAACATTTAAATCAAGGGGGCAGGATGTTTTGAGGAGGGTGTGAGCGTATTGTTTTTTTGCTCAGACCATGGTGGGAATCTGAAAGAGTGGGAGAGGCAGGAACCCTCATTACATTTAAAAGGATCTTAGAACCACTTCCAAGCCAAACAGGACATGGGTCAAGTGCTGGAAGAATGGCCTGAATAATTAGGTGCTGGTTTTTGACTCGATGGGCTGAATGGCCTTTTTTGTGCAGTGGCTCTCTTTGACTCTATTTGATTCTATTACCCAGCATTCCCTGTGGATGTGAATGTCCTCAAACACAGGAATTGCTGGAGAAACTCAGCAGGTCTAGCAGTATCTGTAGAGATAAGCAGAGGTAATGTTTTGATACCAATGGCCCTTCTTCAAATCTGATAGTAGCTAGGAAAAGGTGGGATATATGCCGGAGATTGGGAGGGAGGATAGTGGGAGAGGGAGGGAGAGAGAGAGGGAGATTGACAGTTAGGGAGTCAATGGAATGGATAATAGGATGCTGAGGAGACAGAAAAGCAGATGACAGGGTAACCATAAGAAAGTAAAAATGGGTTGACTGAGCTGAAAGCAGCTCATGTCATGACAGGGCCTAAGGTATGGGGAAAGGGCATGGAAAATGCATTCCTGATTTAAAATTATTGAAGTCAATATTGAGTTCTGATGGGTCCCCACATGGAAAATGAGAATCAGAGAAATTTTACAGGACAGAAGGAGGCCATTCAGCCCATTGTATCTGCACCAGCTCCTGAAAGAGCTGCCCACTCTCCAACCCTGTTGCTGAAGCCCTCTAAATTCGTCACTTTCAAATGTATATCCAGCTCTCTTTTAAAACCTCCTGTGGAATCTGCCTCCACCACTCTCCCAGGCATTGCATCCCAAATCCTAACAACTCTCTGAGGAAAGAGGTTTCTCCTCATCTCCCTCTTGGCTCCCTTGCTGACAATAGGGAAATTGTGACTCCCAGGGACTGACAACCCGACCTGTAGAGTCGTACAGCACAGAATCAGACCCTTCAGTGCAACCAGTCCATGCTGACCATAATCCCAAACTAACCTAGTCCCACCTGCCTGAACTTGACCCATATCCCTCCAAATCTTTTCTATTCACGTACTTATCCAAATATCTTTTAAATGTTATAACTGTACCCGCATCCACCACTTCTGCTGGAGTTTATTCTATACACAAATTACTCTTTGCATAAAAAACTGCCCCCATGTCTTTTTTTTTAACAATCTTTCTCCTCTAACTTTAAAAATATGCTTCCATGTCGTAAGATCCCCCAACTTATGAAAAAGACACTTGCCATTGACCTTATCTATATCTCTAGTGATTTTATAACCAGAATATAGAAATTATAGAAACAGAATATCCTTCTTTACTCTGTCAAAATTCTGAACACATCAATACGGTCACCTTTTAATCTCTGCTCCAATTCCTGTTTCACTAATCTTGCCTTGTATCTAAAAATCACTACTATCATTTCTAGTCATCCTCCTGTGCTGGCCTTTGGGATGTTGATTTTACTTTTGTGAACAAGGGACCTGAAAAGTTGACTCTGTTTTCTCTGTCAGACTTGGCGCTGCATTTGCAGCGATTCCTGCTTTTGTTGCTCATTCTTGTTCCCAAGGTATTTGCTAGAGACTGGAGAGGAGCGTAGTGCGCAGGAGCCGTGCTTAGGGCTCTACTTGGAGTATGCGCAGTTCCGCATCGATCAGAACCGAATGAGAACTGGAGCCGCTTCCGGAACCGAGTGAGTAAATGAGAGAGGAGGGAGGCAGAAAGAGAACGATGGAGGGAGACAGTGATGGGAGAGACGGAGGGGGAATAGAGGGAAGAAGGGAGAGGCGTAGAAGGGAGGAAGGTTAGGGGGAGAGAGAAGAAGGAGGGAGAGGGAGGATGTGAATGAGAAAGGAAGCGAAGAAGGGGTGGAGGGGAGAGAGTGAGGAATGGAGGCAGTTATTGCACCAAGGCTGTTCCCAAGAACAGGCCCTGAGTATATGCCACCTTTGTGGATCATGTTGAGGGCGGGCTGACAGGGACTAGGCTCCGAGCCCTTCCCCGGTGGCCTAGAGTCTGCTTGCTTGGGCTTTTAATCACAATATACAGCAGCTTTCATCGTCACTTTTCCCTGATTCCACTCCACTTAGTTATTAAATTCATCCAGCTCAACCTACTTTTGTTTACGGGTTTTTAATTCCTTTACTTTTGTTTCAAATCAATTTCACAAGGTTGTCGTGGATGGAGTTGGCCAAAACTAACAACCTGAAGAGGTTTCTGATGAAGGGTCTAGGCCCGAAACGTCAGCCTTTCTGCTCCTATGATGCTGCTTGGCCTGCTGTGTTCATCCAGCTCTGCACCTTGTTGTCTCTTAACCTGAAGAGGTGATTGGATTCCGAACATGGAAGGAGGAAGCATCACTCACACTGGGGTGGAAGCATGCACAATCCCTGTGGGTGGGCAAGACTTCTGCCAAGAATCTGAACTCAAGGACCACCAGTGTGGTCGCCCTGGAGTGAAACCCTGGAAATGCATGGACTGTGGGGCAGGATTCCGTTACTTGACTGAGCTGGAAACTCACCGACGGAGTCACACCGGGGAGAGACCGTTCACCTGCACTGAGTGCGGGAAGGGGTTCACTCAGTCGTCCAGTCTGTTAAGGCACTGTCTAATTCACACCGAGGAGAGGCCTTTTAAATGCCCAGACTGTGGGAAGTGCTTCAAAAGCTCTGGCAGTCTGACATCTCATCAGCGTGTTCACACGGACTGGAAACCCTTTAAGTGCGCGGACTGCGGGAAGTCTTTTAAAAGTTCTGGGGAACTGACACGCCACCAGCGGGTTCACACCGAGGACAGACCTTTTAACTGCCAGGATTGCGGAAAGAGCTACAAAAGCTCTGGAAATCTCATGTCCCATCAACGTGTTCACACTGAAGAGAGGCCTTTCAAATGTCCAGACTGCAGGAAGTGTTTTAAGAGTTCGAGGGATCTGATGTCCCATCAACGGGTTCACTCCGAAGAGAGACCGTTTAAATGCCCGGTCTGCGGGAAGGGCTTCAAAAGTTCTGGGGAGCTGATACTCCACCAGCGTGTTCACACCGAAGAAAGGCCGTTCCGGTGCTCTCACTGTGGCACTGGGTTCAAGTGGTCATCGGCACTCACTGAGCACCAGCGAATTCACACCGGGGAGAGGCCCTTCTCCTGCACGGAGTGTGGGAATACATTCACTCGCTTATCCACCCTGCTAAACCACCAGCGAGTTCATACCGAGAACAGGCCGTTCAAATGTCTGGTCTGCGGCAAGTCCTTCAAAAGCCCCACGGAAGTGATGTCCCATCAACGTATCCACACAGACGGGAGACTGTTTGGGTGCTCCATCTGTGGGACTGAATTCAGGCAACCGTCTCAACTCACCAAGCACCAGCATACTCATTCCGCGGACAAGCTATTCTGACTTTGGGAAGGAACTCACTCAGTGACCTGCCCTAGAGACACACCAGTGAGTTCACGTTAGGGAGAGAACTTCTGCAACCCCAAAGTAGGGGAGTGCGATACAAATCTGTGATTTATGATTTCTGTTTGATGTGTTCGCACTGGGGAGAGACCATTCAGGTGCTCTCTCCGCAGGGCTGGGCTCAGCCAATCATCTACCCTCACTATAAATATCAGTGAGTTCACACGATGGGGAGGCTGTTCACTTGCTCTGAGTGTGGGAAGATTCGCTCAGACACTGAACGGAAACCCTTTAAGTGCACAGATTGCAGGAAGTCTTTTGTAAGTTCCTGGGAACTGATACACCACCTTGTGAGAGACCAGCGAGTTCATTAGCAACTGCAGAAGTTGGATTTGCTGTTAATCACATGCTGGACACACCCATGTTTCATTGGGTCTTTTGATTGATGTTAGTAAATTCCAGAACAGTTTAATGTGTGAACATTCAGAATAAAAATCATGTGAATTAGCTTTGCATTAAACCCAGCATGTTGAGTCTTCTTAACATCTCTAATACAAGTGAGTCCCTTTTCAAAGCTTTCTCCCTCTCCCCTCTCTCCTCCAACAACAAGTGTGAGGAGCTCTTTTCCCCAGGGTAGGGGAGTCCAAAACGAGGGGGCATAGGTTTAACATGAGAGGGGATAGATTTGAAAGGATCCTAAGGGCAAATAAGATAGTGTGTGTATGAAATGAGGTGCCAGGAGAAGTGGTGGAGGCCAGTACATTTGAAAGGCATGTGGATGGATACATGAATAGGAAGGGTTTAGAGGGATACGGGCCAAATGCTGGCAAATGGGACTCGGTTAATTTAGGATATCTGGTTGGCACAGACGAGTTGGATTGAAGGGTCTGTTTCCATGCTGTACATCTCTGTGTCTCAAGGATCATCGTCCCGAGTAAGGTTGAAACAAACTGATTAGCCGTCTCTGCTGCTCCCCTCCTTCCACTAGCTCATTGTCAAACTGCCTGTTCCTCCTTGTCTGATTCCTGACCCCACTGCTTTCTCCAGTTTTTCTCCTGTCAGAGTTAACTATTCACTCTTCTGACACTGTCCCTCAAACCCTCATAATAAAAAAAAAATTGACTCCACAGTGTCTGCAAAGACCTTATAATTGGTGTCCATCCAAAGAGCTATCCTTGGTCTGTCTTATTTCTCATCTATACACTCGCTGGTTGACATCAACCAGAAGCAGTGGGTTAGTTTTCACATTATCTCTGTAAACACCTCCAGCCCCTACACTCTATCTCTGTCGCCTCCTCCAGCTCCTGCATCCCTGCCTATCCCTGTAATATGTTTCAGTCCCCACATGCCTCCCTCTCTCTGTGTCATCCTCCAGCAGCTACATCCCTCCCAATATGTGAAACCACCTCCATCATCTCCATCACTTTGTATCTCTGTACCGTCTTCCATCCCCTACACCTACATCTCTCCCTATCTCTGTCACACCCCCAGCCCGTACAGCCTTCCCTAACTCTGTAGCCTCCTCCAGTCCCTATCTCTGTAAGCTCCTCCAAAAGTGCATCCATCTCTATCTATGGAACTTACAAACCTCCCTATCTATCTTTGTAAACTCCTGCAGCCCCTACACTCCTCCTGTCTCTGTCACCTCCTCCAGCCCCCTGTGTCTCTGCAACTTCTTCCCTCCCCTACACCTCTCCATTTCTCTGGAACTTACTCCAGTGCCTACACCCCTCCCTATCTTTGTCAACTCCTCCAATCCTTGCAACTCTCCCTAACTTTGTTATTTCCAATCCCTGCAACTCTCCCCATCTCTGCTTCATCCTCCAGCATGTACAGCCCTCCCTATCATTGTAAACTCTGACAGCAATTACATCGCTCCTGATCTCTGCATCATCCTTCACCAATGTAGGTATTGGCTAGGTGAGAGGAGGAGAATGACATTTGGGATTGAAGTTTCTGATCCACATTAAGAAATAATTCTGGATATTTTGCCAGTTTAAATAATCTCTGAACTTCCTGAGAATTAATCTCTGGAGCATTAATTCTCCATTTCTGACCGCCTCCGTCCCAAACCATCAGCCTGTGCAAGAGGAAGAATTTTAGGCTAACCTTTCAAACCTCACCATCTTCTTCTGATCACTTCCCTGAAGTTCTTTTCATAGCATGGTGTTCCTTTGTAAAGTGAAGCTGTTTCAATCTTCTCTTTGATCACATTCATTCCTAGACAGATCAGCCAGATGCACGGTCAGTGCAGTGACCTTGTCTTCCCTGTGTTTACTTGTGCAGCCTCATCCCTCAGATGAAACCAGTTTACAGACCTATTGTGATGTCTGATCTCACTCTGTGAGTTATAAGGTGAGGGTCACACTTGTTCTCTGAGGTCACACTTTGACGTATCCAGTTCAAGGGACCACCATGATCAAACAGGGAATTACAAAATCGCTCACTTTTCTGAGGTTAGAATATGTTGATACTCCAGAATTCACAAAGGAGTTCCAGACCTAGATAGGGTAATGGGCAGTGAAGAGACTGTCAGGACTCTTTGTGCAATCCCTTGGTAATACCCAGTAAACATCTGTCATTATTGTCCACTTACTTGTGATCACCAATGGCTGAGAAAAGCTGCTCAGTGAGGGAGCTGAAAATTATCATTAGTCACCACCCTTCACTATCTCAGTAACCACCTGCAGCGGCTACATGCCTCCCTAACTCTGCAACCTCTTCCAGCCCCCAACACAGCACCCTATCTTAGTAATCTCCTCCAGCTCCAACACCTCTCCCTATTTCTGTAACCACTTCCTACACTGACACCCCTCAGTAACCTGCTCCAGTTCTAACATCCCACCCAACATCTTCCCTCCGTGGCGTGGTGGCTGAGTGGTTACCACTGCTACCTCACTGCCCCAGGGACCTGGGTTCGATTCCACCATCAGGCATCTGTGTGGAGTTTGCACATTCTCCTTGTGTCAGCATGGGTTTCCCCCAGGTGCTCTGGTTTCCTCCCACAGTCCAAAGGTGTGCAGGCTAGGGTGGACTGGCCATGCTAAATTGCCCACAGGATGTGCAGGCTAGGTGGGTTAGCCATGGGAAATGCAGAGATAAGTTGGGAGTGGTGAATCTGCGTGGGATGCTCTTCGGAGGATCGGTGTGGACTTGGTGGATTAAATGGCCTGCTTCCACACTGTGGGGATTCTATGTTCACTGACAACTGCCAGCTCCATCTCAACACCATTCCTCTCCACTCCTCCACTGTTCCTAAATCCGGAAGACCTTTGACAAGATGCTGCATGGGAGGCTGCTAAATAAGAGCCCGTGGTGTTAGGAACAAGGTAATGGCATGGATAAAGGATTGGCTGACTGGCAGAAGGCAGACAGCAGGGATAAAGGGGTCCTTATTAGGATGGCAGCAGGTGACTAGTGGGGTTCCGCAGGAGTCAGGGTTGGGACCACGGACTATTCATGTTATACATTAATGATTTGGACAAAGGAACTGAGGGAATTGTTGCTAAGTTTGCAGATGACACAAATATAATTTGAGGGACACGTTGTGTTGAAGAAGTGGGGAGGTTGAAGAAGGACCTAGACAGGCTAATGGAGTTGACAAAGAATTGGCAAATGGAATACAATTTCGGGAAGTGTGAGGTTATGTACTTTGGTAGGAAGAATAGAGGCATAGACTATTTTCTAAATGGGTAAAGGCTTCAGAAATCTGAGAACAAAGAGACTTGAGAGTCCTAGTTCAGGATTCTCTTCAGGTTAAGATGCAGGTTCAGTTGACAGTTTGGAAGGCAAATGAAATAGGGCTAGAATAGAAGAGCAGAGTTTTACTGCTGAGGCTGCGTAAGGCTCTGGTCAGACCACATTAGGAATATTGAGAAATACAGAGTCCAAAACTGCTCACAATATTCTGTACTTCTCAGTTTTCTGCAAATTTCATTGAGATTCCCCCTTCATCCTTCTAACGCCACCAAGTATAGACTGAGAGCCCTTCATCCTCAGGATCAATCTTGGACGAAGTCCAGAGGAGTTTCACAGGAATGATCCTGGGGAGGAAGAGAGCATAGACAGAATAAATGGATGGAAGGCCGATTTGTGTGATGGACTGGGTTGAGTTCATAACTCTCTGTAATTTCTTGTGGTCTTGAGCAGAATAGTTACCATGCCAATCTATGATGCATCTGGATAGGATGCTTTCTATGATGCATCTATAAACATTGCTAAGACACATTGTGCACCAGGACAGATTGTTAGTGATATTTACTCCTAGGAACTTGAAGCTCTTGCCCATACAATTTGGATGAGAATATAGGGGGCATCATCAGTAAGTTTGTGGATGACACCAAAATTGGTGGTATAGTGGACAGTGAAGAAGGTTTTCTAAGATTACAAAGAGATCTTGATCGATTGGGTCAATGCAATGAGGAGTGGCAGATGGACTTTAATTTGCCGGTGGGCAGCACGGTGGCTCAGTGGTTAGCACTGCTGCCTCACAGCGCCAGGGACCCGGGTTTGATTCCAGCCTTGGGTGACTGTCTGTGGAGTTTGCACATTCTCCCTGTGTCTGCGTGGGTTTCCTCTGGGTGCTCTGGTTTCCTCCCACAGTCCAAAGATGTGCAGGTGAGGTGAATTGGCCATGCTAAATTGCCCGAGATTAGGTGAGTTATAGGGGGATGAGTCTGCATGGGATGCTCTGAGGTTCGGTGTGGACTTGTTGGGCCAAAAAACCTGTTTCCACACTGTAGGGATTCTATAAATGCGAGATATTGGAGAGGACTGATACAATTAATGGTAGGGCCCTGTCGAATAGAGAGACCTAGGGATTCAGGTACGTAATTCTTTGAAATTTGCGTCACAGGCAGACAGGGTGATTCAGAAGGTGTTTAGCATGGTTGCTTTCATTGCTCAGATCTTTGAAAAAAGGAGTTAGGACATCATGTTGAGGTTGTATAGGATGTTGGTGTGGCCTGTGTGCAATTGTGGTTGCCCTGTTATGGGAAGGATAATGTTAAATTGGAAATAGTAATAGACTGGGACTTTTTTGCCTGGAGCATAGGAAGTTGAGGGGTGACCTTATAGAGGATTATAAAATCACGGGATACATGGATAGGGTGAATAGCCAAGGTATTTTTTGCCCAGGTAGGGGAATCCAAAACTAGGGGATATGGATTTAAGGTGACAGGGGAAAGATTTAAAAGGGACATAAGGGGCAAAGTTTTTCATGCAGAGGGTGGTGCGTGTATGGAATGAGCTGCCAGAGGAAGTGGTTGGAGCTGGTACAATTACAACATTTAAAAGGCATCTGGATGGGTACATGAATAGAAAGGGTTTAGAGGGATATGTGCCAATTGCTGGCAAATGGGAACAGATTTATTTAGGATATCTGGTCATATGAGTTTGGACCGAAGGGTCTGTTTCCCTGCTCTTTAACTCTCTGACTTTAAGTAGATGCAAAACTACAGATACTAAGTAAAATTTAATCAGTAAAATCATTAATTAATTAAGATCAATGAAGATGGCAGG